CTTCTCACCTATTTATATTCATGTAAATGATATCCAAACAATTTAAATAACATTATCAGTTCTGAGGATTCATTTCAAGTTTATTGAACACAAGTTTGCATGCAAATGCGAATCATAAGATGAACATAAAAAGAGAAATATATCACATAGTAAATTCCTTAACTTTCCAAATGTATCAGTTAAATCAAGGTAACGTCCCATAGGAAAAAAAAAATAATGAGAGAGAAATTATGCTCCGCAAGGAGACACATAATCACTGGTCAATCTGCTAAATCAATATTGTTGCATTGCACCGTACAAGCTAAAAGTATAGTAGCATTTTATCAACTTGCGAACGTCATCTCCATATTTATATACGGAGCAACAAATATCCCTTTCCACATCCACCAATTGCAAGTTCGCAACAATTCAAACATGAACCCAATAATCCCTCAAGACTTACCCTTTGAAAATAGAACTAATCGAGCCTCCCCATTTAGGTTTAATGTAAGAAAACGAAATAAAGAAACAGATATACAGAACTAGAGGTGTAATCGATACCATTTTAAGCAATAATCACAATCGATTCATAAACAGTGTAGCCACTACACAGCGGAAAGTCTATGGATTGGGCACGAAATTAGGGATATAATGAAAACTTACTGGATTCAGATCCATTCTGGGAATTACAATTCAATCGCGTCCTTCAATTCAGCAGCTTTGAACGTTTTTCCAAGGTTCATAGAAATTAACAGATTTCAATTCTTGTACTACGAAATATCGAAGCAAATTTCTTTTACTTTTCCTGGGTTTAAAAATGGAAATTTAGGGATCGGAAATTAGGGAGTTAATTGTCCCAACGGTGATTGAGGTCTCGTCCACGTTTAAAATGTTGATAAGGTCCGTGTATTCAATTGTTGACTGTAAGTAATGTCGAGTTTTAGCTTGGGAATAAGTTGTATCTTACTCGCTAAAATAACTTTCGTCTTAGACTTCGAACTAAATTGATAACGTTGCTAACGGAATGCATATGTAACATTTCATCACACCGTTAAACTTTGAAATGATCAAATTTTAGCCATTAAATTTTGAAAAAAAAATATCTTCTATTGTTCACTGAATTTTGGCAATTAAACTTCGAAAAAGGTCTTCCTTTGCTCACTAAGAATTTGAATTTAACCACACATTTATACATAAATTCAAAAAAATTCCCAATTTTCTAATCACATTCTCGAAAAAATAAAAAAATATTACTATTTAGAACTCTTATTTAAAAAAAATAGTGGCCATCAAACAATAAGTTGTTAAAAAAATTGAACTTTATTTAATTTTTACGATAAATGTATTGTGTATTTCATTGCATTTAGTAATCAATTCCTTTGCACAACTTTGCAAGGATTGTCTATGCCGCTATGAATGATTACTCAATTACACAATAATTAAATTTAAATTAAATTTAATTTTTTAATAATTTGAAGCTATTTTCATCATAATATTTGAATTTCACAGCGAAACACACAATAAATTTGTTTATTGTTAAATAAAATTAAGTTCAAATTTTAACAATGATTTTTAATTAAATCCAAATATATTGTGAGCCATAGAAAACGTTTTTCAAAGTTTGTGGCAAAAACTCGACCATACTCACTGAATTTTGAGGTGGTCGAATTTTGGCTATTGAATTTTGACCACAAAAATTTGAGATGGACGAGTTTTCAAATAGTATTTTTTGTAAATGTGTTGTTAAAAAGTTAGAAAAATTTTTTAGTTTACATGTAAAATATTTTATTATATAAATGTGTTGTTAAATCCAAATTTATAGTGATTAATAAAAGACGTTTTCAAAGTTTAGTGGCCAAAATTCGACTTTTTAAAAGTGGCCAAATTTCGACTACCTCAAAGTTCAGTGAGCAATAAAAAATATTTTTTAAAATTTAGAGTTAAAATTCGATAATCTCAAAGTTTAACGGTATAACGAGGCACCACATTTGTATTTCGCCAACTATATCACCAATTCCGTTAGAGATTTGAGATGGAAGTTAAGCTAGTAAGTAACACACAATATTTTTAAATTCAGTGGCCAAAACGTGACATTTTAAACTTTAATAAGCAATCGAAGATATGAACCTAAATTCAATAACCAAAACTCGTCATTTTAAATTTCAGTGAGCAATCGAATGAATCTAAATTCAGTAACCATCCGAACAATTAACTCGAAATTAGGCTAGTTATAAAAATTTGCATCGTTTTGCTTTTATATTAATTTACACTTTTTTTTTCTTTTTTTTCCTGCCCTTTCCTCCCATGATTTGCTAAGCCTAAAAAAAATAGTTGACCTTATTTCGAAAGTAAATTTAAATACATCTTTTTTTATTTTAAGTTAAAAGTAACTTATTAAGAAATTATTTATTTTTAGTTGAACAAATATTATGACAATATTAATAGCTTATGCATTTTAAAAAACCATCTAATTTTACATTTATATAAGATAGTTATTAATAACTAATCCTACATAAAAAAAAAAGCGCTTCTTTGGTAAATTTTTATAAATTTTATCAACTTTTCAATTGGTTAAAATCAAATTTCAAATTTAACCACACATTTCACCTAACTCACAACTTTTACGTAACTTTTCGGCGATACATTACAGTAACTTTAATCAAAATCTGCTATTAAAACCCTTGGCAAACACCTTATAAGTAAATAAAAATCGCCTATGGAGTGATGAACCTCACTATCTCCTCAAAAATGGAATTCATAATACAGTGAACATAAATTGCTGACATAAAATCAAGAACTACGGGTGTACACAGTCATAAAATAGATGACCAGGAACAAACATGGATGATTTAAAGAATCTATTAAGCCAAAGTTCCTCCAAAATAGACACCTTATTGACTCTAAAGGAATCCATAATCTCGCGAATCTCACTTTCCTCTTCCGCAAATACCTTCTCGGGTGTCTGTATTCTTAATTCATATAATCGGTTGTTCTCAACTCCAAGAACTGAAAGATAGCGCCGATCCCATTCTAGACGGGCCACCCATTCCTGTGGCATCACAGCCAATTCATTGTTGTTCGCATATGACTTTATGTTCACCTGGTCATATCAAAAATGTAATCAGCACCAGATATGAACTTTATATGTCACTTTGCTATGAAGAAGCAAACTCAAGGCATTTTAAGTATGTAACTAATATGCCCCCCAGGGCACATCCAAGTTGGTGGAACAATCACATTGGGGGGCTCTGAAACCAAGCGTGGGGAGTTCGATTCCTGGTGGGAATCTTTGATCCAATAAAGGAGGAATTATTGGTGGATTAATCACCATGGAGGAGGCTCCCTTTGGGGAAGTAGTAAAAGTCATGTGGGAACTTGGGAACCAACAAGGGCACATTCTGCGATTTACCTCTCTGAGCAACTGAGGAACCGGAGGTTCAGAGACGAGGATATAGTCTGGCGCAAGTTGGGACACCTCGTTAAAAAAAAAAAAGTATGTAATTAGTATGAATTGGAAATGCTCCAAAACTATTGCATCCTTACTTTTTTGCATAGTACAATCCCAAAATTTGTCAGAATAAAGCCTAACAAAGAACTCACCTCGATCTCATAATATAGCCTTCAATCGTTAGCTACCCTTGAGGAAATAGAAATTCACGCCTGACACCAAGTCTGGTAGACATGAACTCTGTCAAGTACTGTCTAAGTACATTCTTTCCTGCTTCTTCTGGTGAACCCAAATCTTCTACGCACTTGTACCTGGAGGATGAAGGTGATGAAATGTCCACCGAGAGATTTTCATCAAGAAAATAAGGATCCCTGAAGAATATGTCGGCCCCAGCACCACGCACTTGGATCCAGTTCTGAGAGTACTTTAATGAATAGCCGTGAAAAGTATCTATGTATTCCCTGAACCCAACAGGTTGTGCATATGAAATATTGAGTACATTAGCTGGTGAGAAGATGCAACCTGCGAGGATTGAAGCCATCACATTTCTTCTTGGAACTGCAAAATCTTTATTCTGGTTATAAATTAGAAAATGTCTCGTAAGAAATGTTGATAATAACGTAGGGAAATCCGAATACGTTAATGAACTCCAAGGCACGAAATGAAACGTTATCTTTTAAGAGATGTTTCTCCCCTATTCAACAAAGTCACAACGGGGTATAATAGAAAATCTCTCTCAAGATACAATGGAGGTGTTTAATTCAAATTGTGACTATTTGATCAAACTAAGAAAACACTCGAATATAACTGATTGATGCCAAGAGAAAGAAGGAAAAATAAATTGTTTGATGTGTTTGCAAATGAGAATTCTCCCAGAATTTATAGACATTGAGGCAACTATTTGAAATAGGTGTATCCCTTGGAAGTGACTGTTAAAAATGAACAGATGCACATATTCAAAACTTTTGAAAATAAAATTCTCTTTCGGGGGCGTTGCCCCGAGCCTCCACGGGGTGACCGGGCAGGTCGAACTCCGTTGCGCAGCGACAAACACTAATCCGGGCGGCAAATCATTCGCAAAACAAAATATTAAACACATGCAAAATGATGAAAAATATCTAACATATCCCCCCTATTTTTCAAATTTTTGATTTAAAAAAGATGAAGTGGCTGCATCACAAAAATTGATTGCCTACGTACCCTTAACGGGATCAAGCCACCGTAGTTCATGCAAACACACACAAAAGGCATCATCGTAGGAAATCGTACACAAATGAAAGTAGCTTTTGACTTTGAACTTTCACTTAGTGTAAACAACTCAAAGTCTTGTCAAGGTGCTATGGTGAACGAATCTTGAACCAAGGACCCTATCATGACTAACCGGAGTCATTACACATACTATTCCGATAAAAAAGGAGTGTATCTTTTATACCAACGCATTAATGGCCTTGCGTATATCCCGAATTTCATGAGTGCTTTAGAGACGGTCTAAATCTCATAGAAAATGGCCTGACTTTCTCACTCACATATGTAAGTTCTTTATAAAGTAATTCTGCGAGTTACTTTCTCTCTCAATAGAACTTATTAAGGAATTAAATTCATCCTCAACCATGCAGAATACATACACTAGAGATTTTATGAATGGGTTCGAATTAATACTCTAGTGTCTCGTCTAAGTTAGACTTTAATTTGTTTGTACCCTTTGAACTTTGTTTATATTTCAAAACATAAGTAGGGTTCCCATTAAAGCTAACTGAAGTTACGTAGACCTCAATCCCATTCCTTTCGATGTTTTCGCAATCATCTCTCTAGCCAATCCTTTTGTCAAAGGATCTGCTAGGTTATTCTTCGACTCTACATATTCAACGATGATTACTCCTTGCTTAAGTAATCCTCGAAGAGACTGATGTCTAATACTGAGATGTCCTTGCTTACCATTGTAAGTCTTGTTTGCTACCGAATACAAAGTAACTTTACTATCACAATAGATCATCACAGCTGGAGATGGTTTCTCCCACAATGGGATATCTATTAGCAAATTTCTTAGCCATTCAGCTTCTTTACTTGCATCAGCCAAAGCAATAAATTCTGCCAACATAGTCGAATCTGAGACGCATGTTTGTTTCTTAGAACACCAAGAAACAGTTACACCTCCTAAAGTAAAAATCCAACCTGTTGTGGATTTAGAATTCGATTCTATGTTGTTCCAACTTGCATCGCTGTATCCTTCAAGTACAGCGGGAAATCCACGATAATGTAATCCATAATCAATAGTTCCTTTCAAGTATCTTAGAATTCTTGAAACTGCATTCCAATGTTCTTTTCCTGGATTGCTAGTGAACCGACACAATATACCAACTGCATATGCAATATCTGGTCTTGTGCAGTGCATAGCATACATAAGACTTCCAATCACACTTGCATATTGTAGTTGGTCATAAGATCTACCA